TTCCCGATGCGCCTGGAGCCTGTCCTCGTTAATGTGCACCCTCCTTTTGTATAACAGCCGATATTCATGGCTCTGTTAAGTCTTTGTGCTTCTCCTCGAAGTTCGGGAATGCAGCGGGACTTTGAGCAGCTGTCTGGGTCAATTTGGAACATTTATTGGAACTGATGGTTTCTCCCGCCAATAAAAAAGATTAAGAAACACTATTTCCAAGGGCCTGGAATGCCAGGACAGGGGGGAATGGCTTCCCACTGCAAGAGGGTAGGATTAGATGGGATAATGGGAAGAAATTGTCTCTTGTGAGGGTGGTGAATTTCTGGCACAGGTCTGCCAGAGAATCTGTGGCTGCCCCTGGATCCCTGGAAGTGTTCCAGGCCAGGCTGGACAGGGCTTGGAGCAACCGGGGTTATGGGAAAGTGTTCCTGCCCACGGCATGGGGTGGAACGGGATCATCTTTGTGGTAGTCTTCAACCCAAATGATTCTGTGATCTGTTTGATTCTTTGATCGTATAATTCTGTGATCTGTTTGAAATGGGTACAAAAAAGGCACAGCAGCTGGCAGGGACTGCAGGAGCCACTGTGGCCCCCAGCGATGGCCCATGTGACTGTGGTTGAAGTCATGTTGCTGTTCTCCATCTCAGAGATCAGTTCCAGCCTTCTTTGGGGCTCAAGTGCAGTCCTCGTGCGTGAAATTAGAAGCCTAGTTTTACTTTAGTCCCGACTTTTCTGCAGCCTTTTTATTAGTCCTGCACCAGTGTGATTGTGAAATGTACTCCCTGAATCCTAAGCAAACACAGACTTGCTGGCTTTAACCTGCCCGTGGCAGGAAATTCTGCAAAAGAAAGCCTGAAAATATTGCTCTGCCTGTTTTTTATTATGCAAAAAGGAATATTGCTGCTCCTGGTTGTGCTGGCTGAGCCCTGCTCTCTCTGCAGGCCAGGTCAGTGCTGAAGTTGTTGTGCCTTCTGGTGTTCCTCAGCTGACTGACACACTTTGCCAAGTTACTTCCTTATCTACAAGTGCCCGGCCCGATCTCCAGGCAGATTCTCTCCTTGACTGTTTTGTCCTTCCCGGGTCCTCTTTGTTTTTGGGATTATTCTCAGTGTCCTCATTCCCTGTCCTTTTGTAGGCGTTTGTGGATCAGGAGGCCTGGCTGCCACCTGCATGCCCTGGCTCAGCTGCTGGATGAGCTGCACTGCCAAGGTGTGGAGCATGGTAAAAAGATGAGAGTTGCTGCAGCACAGAAGAGGAGAAGCAGCATTCGTTTAACCCTTGGTGTGCCGGGGAGCCACAAAAGCGTGTCTCATTCCATCCTTTCCATGCTTGGACCAATACATAAACTGCTCTCCTATTTCCTTTGTTATATTTTTCAGCACTTTTCCTTTGTCATCTCTTTGCCAACAGCAGTTTGAGTCACTTAGTTTTCCACAAACTCCTCCTTTTTCTACTAACAGATAACCTGATCCCATCCCCTGGTGAAATGTTGTGTTCCTCATTTCAGTGGCTTGGTCGGAAGAAGGTCAGGAGCTGGAGCTGTCTGGTTGGTTCTTATTCTGAGTACAGCTTGTAATCTAATGATGCCATTGAAATGATAAATGGGTTCTCTGCCTCCTGATAGGAATTTGTGAAAAACTCAATCACTTGGTTTTTAAAATTTTAAAAGTTTAATAATAGTAAAATGGTGAAAAAAGTTGTAATACATTTAGAGTAATAAAAATTTACAGTTAGGACATTTACAAGACAATAAAAAAAAAACAATTACAGAGGTCCGGATGCTCAGGCACTTAAACCAAGACGAGCATACCTTGGGATCTAGAGGAATCACCCTTAAAACAATACACAATTAGCTTCTTATAGTAAGAAAACCATAACTTCCTCTTCTCTGGAAAATTTAGGTGTTCCTTGAGTGAGTATCTCATTCCTTAAACCCCTCCTCCACATACTTAGTTTCTCTTTTAACTACTAAAGCTTCATTTTATCTGCAAAGCTACATTTACTATACTATTGAAATGTTAATACAGCACAACTAATCAATATAATATAATGCATAGAGTAACTATCTGCGTAGAGCCATATAACATGCATTTTTAACAAATTTGTTTGGGTTCCCAGTGGCTGGTCCGTGGTGATGTAGAATTTGTTCTGTTGGCTGTTAAACTTTTCCCCATTTTTGGGCTCTGCCTCAAGCTGGGGCTGCATCAATTGACCCCATTTTTGTTATTCCATCATCAAATTCTTGATTTCCAACTGATTTCCCTGAACTTGTTATAGCAAAAACCCCACTGCTCTGATACACCCTGTATAGCACAGACAGTGACAGCAGATGTTGGAGTGGGCAGAGAGATGATCCCCCCCTTATTTTAGTGAAGTTTTCACAACATTCTCCATTTGCTGTTTCCCTTTGCAGCTTCAGCCATTTCTGTTGCAGTGTCAGAGATCCTCAGCATGGGCTCTGCCTTCAGCTGTGCAGATTCCATCTGTGCAAGCAGGCAGAGCTTGGGGTGAGGGGCAGAGGGAATCAGCCAGTTCCTGCCCCAGGCAAGAAGAGCCAGGTACATTGTCCCCACTTTGCCCCAGCAGTGTTAATTTGCATTTCTAAAGCTCCTCCTGGGTGCCTGGAATGCAGCTTCTCTTCCACAGCAGCCTTCAGCAGCCTCAGTTGTGCCCCCCGCCACAACCTGCTGCTTTTTTTTTTTTCTTTCAAATAATCCATTTAGTATTTGTGACTTAAAGGGTCACCTTTAAATCTCTTCTAGTTTTGCAAAGTGCAGCCTAAAGGTGAGTGTTGAAAAACCCAGACCAAAATTTTGGTATCTCTTACAGAAACATACACAAAAAAATTCCAAGGCAATTCAGTTTTTTCTACTTCTCCTTGGAGTAAAAATTCATTCTTACATCCCTAAGCGAAACCTAACCGTAAATGCAGAAGTAGGATTATTACAAAAAATACTCTAATGCTCTAAACTTTGCACTGATACTGCAGGAAAAAGAAAACCTCCACCAATATGTTTAGTGTTAGAGTCAAGGCATTACTTGATTCTGACCAGGATGTGCAACAGAGATCATTCCATCCCCACATAGCTCGGGTGTGCAGAGAAAATCATTCCATGACACGTGCGTTTTACTTGAGTTTTCCCAAAATTGGTACAGTCTAAAGCAATCTCAATCCACTGGTTTAATGTTCTGTAGTTTCAAGTTGTGCAGTTTT